TCTGATTGGCTGCTTTGATTTGCTCTGACGGAACAACCCGTCGCGTGTGGAGCACTGATCTCTATAATATAATCTATATCAATATTATAGAGATCAGTGCTCCACACGCGACGGGTTGTTCCGTCAGAGCAAATCAAAGCAGCCAATCAGAGGAACCCTTCGCGCATTTGTGGTACGGAAAAAATAGACGCGTCCGGGTCCGGGTCCGGGTTTTATTCACACCCTATTACAACTTGCCAAGTTGGTAGTCATTTCATATAGGTAGTCCCTGTTATTGGATGATATACATGTACCTATAGTAGTAGTAGTCATATTACAACTTTTGTATGCCTATTGGGCAAAATGGTGCTTAATTTTACGGCTGTTAACACTCATTACAGCCGATGAGCATGAATATGATGAGATGAACATGATCAATGATTTGAGGAAACCGTCGGTAGCGAGTTAGAGTCTGCCCTCCAGCGGGCCCGAACCCCGAGACCCCTAGCACGTACCGGAGTAAAGCATCAGAACCACTGTGCTAGCCGGCTACCCCTGTATGCCTATAGTGGGCATAATACAACTTGGTAGTCATTCCATAGATGCTAGTCTCAGTTGTAGGGTGATATGCCTAGTAGTTATTCTGAATAAGAGGTCTCTGTTAAATTATAGGGTGATATGAATATTTAATAGTCAACTATATAGGCATTTCATATAAATATTATAGTCTCTTTTAGAAGGTGCAATATGCCTAGTAGTCATATTAAAACTTGATAGTCATTCTTTATAGGTAGTCACTATATTATAGGGTGATATATGCCTAGTAGTCATATTACAACTTGGCAGTCATTTGATAAAGATACTAGATAGTCTCTGTTATATTAAGATGATATGCCTAGTATGTATGCATATTACAACTTATTAGTAATTCCATATAAGGCTGTAAAGTTAGTATCTGTTATTGGAGTAGTAGAGGGTAACGACAACGATAACAACAATGAACAACAGCCAGTTGAACACTTGGTGTATACTTGGCTATCGTGCGTGTTGGTGGATAATGTATACGAGCGCTGCTGGGAACTAAAATTAAAAGTGCCTAGTAAACATATCCTATCGCACCTTTCAGCCGGCTGCCTTTGTGACGTACGCCGCCATGTAGCGCTATTCGTGAGGCTCATTTTATGAGCCCCGCGTATGACCGGCGGTTTATAAACACGCTTCGAATTCATACTAAATATGGTTTGCTAATCCTGTCACGCACACAGATGAACGTAAACACGTGTAGGTAAATGTACATGACGTTAATTTATTCTTCCAATTATTCGTTATCGAACTATGTATGTCAATACACTTGGTGACGTCGCTATATCGCTACGAGGCTCATTTTATGAGCCCCGCGTTTGACCGGCGGTCTATAAACACGCTTCGAATTCATACTAAATATGGTTTGCTAACGCTATCAAGCTCACAGATGAACGTAAACACGTGTAGGTTAATGTACATGACGTTAATTTATTCTTCCAATTATTCGTTATCGAACTATGTATGTCAATACACTTGGTGACGTCGCTATATCGCTACGAGGCTCATTTTATGAGCCCCGCGTTTGACCGGCGGTCTATAAACACGCTTCGAATTCATATTCAATATGGTTTGCTAAACCTACCAAGCACACAGATGAACGTAAACACGTGTAGGTTAATGTACATGAC